TGATTAGCTCTAATAACTTTGAATATATTGTTTTAAATGCAAAGAGGTAAAGAAATGCAAGGAGTTGGACATGGGCATGGAGTTGGACATGTGCAAGGAGAGGGAGATGAGCATGGAACTGGTGGAGTTAGAGATATGCAAAATACCGGTAATTTTAGGCTTACTTTGATGTTTTTTTAGTATAATTTTGGCATAGTTTTTTAAAACCTAAACACCAACAAATTGTTTCAGCATCTAGGCAACACACACCAAATGCCAATGAACATTCCCAACCTAATCATCAAACTACAACAATACCCGAACTTCCACCAACTAACCCAAGGAAAAGAAGACGCAATGCAAATGGTAATAGAAAGAGATCCGAGGTTTGGGATCATTTTAACCTTATTCCTAATAGTGACCCACCAACAGCTGCTTGTAAGTACTGCCATCAAAAGTATATGTGTGACTCTAAGAAACATGGAACATCAAACTTAAAGAGTCACATGAAAACATGTCCCAAGTATCCGTTGAACTTGTCCACAGACACTACCCAAACAATCTTGTCATATTCAACAACTGAGGAAATATTAAGTTCTAGGTTTAATCCTGTAGCTTGTCAAAGTGGGTTGGCTTATTTTATCATTTTGGATGAAAAACCATTTAGTACAGTGGAAGGAGAGGGGTTTAAGTACTTTTGTAGGCAGATGCAGCCCCAATTTTCTATACCGTCTAGGCGAACTATAGCTAGAGACTGCTTTCAGTTATATCTTGATGAGAAAGTGAGGTTGAGGGCGTTCTTTAATTCTGATTGTAGTAGGGTGGCAATTACAACCGATTGTTGGACATCTGTCCAAAATCTGAACTATTTGACCCTCACGGCCCATTTTATTGATAGAGAATGGCAATACCAAAAGAGGATAATCAGCTTTACGAGTATCCCAAACCATCGGGGAAAAACTGTTGGTAAGAAGGTTGAAGATGTTTTAAAGGAGTGGGGGCTAAGAAATGTTTCTACCATCACGGTAGATAATGCCACCTCAAATGATGTTGCTGTTAAATATTTAGAACAAAAAGTAAGAAACATGAATGGCCTCTTAATGGATGGATTTGGTTTTCACATGAGGTGTTGTGCACATGTGCTGAATTTGATTGTGAGAGATGGATTACAAGTTGCCAACACCTCAATTTCAAGTGTGAGAAATGCAATTAGGTTTGTTAGATCTTCACCCCATAGGGCTTTAAAGTTCAAAGAATGTGTGGAGTATGCTGGGATTTTATGCAAGAAATCAGTATGTCTTGATGTTTCAACTAGATGGAACTCGACATATTTGATGTTAGATTCCGCGGAGAAGTTTCAAAGTGCTTTTGAGAAGCTAGAAGATGCGGATGAAGCCTATAGGGATTTCTTTGAGGTTGACTCCCCCCCTAGTAGTCAAGATTGGGATAATGTTAGGGTTTTTATTAAGTTTTTGAAGAACTATTATGAAGCCACAAAGATTTTTTCTGTTTCCACAAAAGCAAGTTTGCATACTGCTTTTCCATACCTTGCTTCAATTTACATTGAACTTAAGAGGTTAAATATGGACCTTAATGGATTGTTTGCTGAGGTGGCTAGGGATATGCTGGAAAAGTATAGTAAATATTGGGTTGATATCACAAAGATGAACCAACTCCTTTATTTTGGTGTTATCTTTGATCCCCGATATAAGTTGAGATTTGTGGAATGGTGTTTTGATGATATGTATGGAAAAAATTCGGAAACTAGTAAATCACTATTAAAAGATATAAATGACAATCTTTTAACCATGTTCAACCTTTATAAACAACAATACGACACTGCTGGAGGCTTAATTCCATCTGTTGCAGCGGCTGTTTCTCATGGTGAAACAGCAGCCAGCGATGAATTACCCACATCCGTAGCTAGGGCAAATGCGTTTCAACAACATTTGATGTCTTTGGATGCAGTTGAAGAAGAAACTGAACTTCAGAACTATATAAAAGGAAAGTGCATAAGTTTTAATGAAAAGGATAAAGACACTTTTGACATTCTTGGTTGGTGGAAACATCATGTCGGGAAATTAAAAGAACTATATGTTATGCTCCAGAACTTTGGTTAAGCAGGTATTGACTTGTAAATCTATGGAAAACTAGTGATTCTATAGCAGTGCTATCTGTAATGTAGCACTAGTTGAACAAATCACTATTGTTTTGTGACACACTATCGAATTCAAAGTATTGTCGACATAACAAAACTTGAACAAACTGTAATTTTCTGCGATCTGCAATCAATTTGTTCTATTAAAATTGTTTAGCAATTCCAAATGATTTTTAAAAGTGTTAGTTGATGCTTTTTAATTTCGTAATAGCTTAAAACTACCTATATTGCACGAGTGCACGGGCTAATCCAGGACGCCCTGTACGACATGGTGGTGGGTTTTTTACTTTCTTTTTGCCCTGGTTTTCAACTTGTTATGATAATTGATGCTGTTTGTGGTGGTCTTGCAGCACTCCATCAGTTTACACAGCAGAACCTTCCAGCATGTAAACCCGTCCTTACACCTGCGGCAGTTAGTTCTTTTACAATACTTGAATATTTTATGGTGCCTTTGTGAAAAGTGTGCATTCTAATTCTCAATCATGTTCTTTGCAGGTCATTTCTACATTTCTGTTGATGGGTTTGATTTTTATTCCTGTTGGAATTGTTACACTCCGTGCATCGTATAGTGTATATATCATTTCTTCTTACATTCATGCTATGCAATTTCTTTATCTTTTTCCTTTCCAATCAACATCCATATGCTTATTGTGATATTTTTTTGAACAATGGATATCTAGGTTGTTGAAATTGTGGACAGATATGACAATGATTGTGTACCCGAAGAATATAGAGGTAACAAGGTAGCATATGTGAAAGACAACTCAATCCCCAAAAACTGTTCGCGATTCTTAAAGGTAACAATTCATTTTTCACTTATTTACATGATTCATAGATTATTGCTCCGGTATCAGTCGTGTGCAAATAGTGCTATATAATAAATTGGTGGTGTGGCTCTGTTCCTTATGTATTTCAGTAGTGAACACCAACACCAACATAAAAAATGAGAGGAGATCTGGAACATATCTGTTTATTACACAAGCATTGCACTTCTCATCTCTGTTCCATCTTTTTATTACTTAAAAACTATATGGCATTGGCATAATAAGCATGTGGTAGAAAGAAAATATAATTTAGAGGGCTTCAAAAAGTAGAATTTATGTTTGGTTGATTTTTTTTATTTATGGAGATCATCTCTGAGTTATGATTTGTTCTGGACCAGATAAATTCTTCATCCTCAATGCTTTCTTTCAAAGGAAGTCCACATTGGTGACTCTAGAGCTGTGTTGGGTACAAGGGAGAAAGATGGTTCTCTTGCTGCAGTCCAATTATAGTTCTTGCCTTGTTCAACAGTAGCATCAGACTGTCACGATGATAAAGATCAGGTAGCGTTTAATTTTTGAATGTTTTGATTTTGCTTTTTGAAGTTGTGACTTGTGAATGCTGTTCTGAAATGCGAAGTGTGACTTGTGAATGTGTTATTTTATTGTTGATTGTGTGACTTCTGAAATGAGAAGTGTGACTTATTATTCTTTAATTTATGCCTGCCTGTGAAATTATGACTGAAAAATGGACTTTTAAGTTACTCTACTTGGATGTTAAAGAAGGGAATGGGGTTTATGCTTTTTATATATCTTATATAGGAACTGCTTTCATGTCCTGTCATTATAGCTTTAGACAAGATTCATAAGGGCTTTAGTTGTTGGCATGATGCAAGAAAAGAAGAAATAGATTTTGTGTCCCAGCTTCTGTTGTTTTAATTTTGAATAGTAAAGATGCTAATATATACTTCATATAGTTCATGAGTGAGAATTGGTGAGTACCTCTCATATAGTTCATATGAAGTCAAATACTGTAGTTCCAATTTACTTTAATTTTTTTGTTAATTATGTTTGCAAGTGCCATAAATATCTGTAATTACTATACTATTTAGTTTAGCAATTGTTTGTCCATGTTTAGCTTGAGACTGTTTCATACGGAACAAATAGCTTTTATGCAGGAGTGCAGGAGTGCAAGAAGCTTCCCGGTTATTTTATGGAATGGATTAATCTCAAAGAATTGGAGTTTATATGTTGGTTGTGTTACTATGTAGGCTTTGCTAAATTTAATTGAATTTGTAATGTATTTGATACCTATTTAAATTGGAATTTGTAATCTATTTAAATTGGAATTTTTAATGTATTTGAATTGGAGTTTGTAATGTATTTGAATTTGATACTATGTTAATTTGTAATGTTTTTTAACTATGAATTTATATTATAGAGTATGTCATTTTTTTTTTTGGAAATTTTAAGTAGTTAAATGAAAATTTTGAAAACTGTACAAAAAAAAGGGGGTAAAACTACTAAATTCTGAATTTGGGCTTAATATTTCAATAAGCCCATTAAAAATGGTACCCGAAATTAATCCTATAGATACCCGAAATCGATGCAACCCGAACCCGACTAATCCGAATCATAATTGGGTCGGATTTGGGTCGTAATATACCACCCGTGGATAACTTCGGATTGGGGGTTTGGGCCCGAACCCGAACCGGCCCGAACCGGTGCCCACCCCTAGTGGTTCATAACTCTATTACAAAATTTTAAACAATGTCAGAAAACTTGAAACTACTATATAACTTAAGTTTTTTATTTTTAATTATTATTTATATATCACCAAATTACATATTACTAGTACATTATAAAATGTAAAGAAAGAAGTGACAGGGTTGTAAAACACAACATGTAAAAGAAGGAAGACGAACACATTGGTTTTTGTCATTCTTCATAAAGGCAAAACAAATACAATGAGAAATCCATTTTCAACAAGTGTTTCATCGTTTCGTACCTTAAGAGAAAATTGGTGAGTTATGAGCTATGAGCAGTGAGATGGTGGAGAATTGTTTGAATCAACCATTTTGTAAATACTAAAAGCAAAAACAATGTGCATTGCAATGCAGAGATTAAAAGATTATTTAGCCCTACTAATCATATATTTGTCATATAGATCAATTTTCCTACCAAAGAAAATACTATGCACACCCGCAAATGGTGATTTCACTTGCAAAATCAAACAGCAAAATCATTATTATTTGCTCAAAATCAGACCAAATAAAAGGCCAGTTCATAACAAAGTGCAGAATATAAATATAAGTGTTTCAAAATAACATTGGCCATCAACAAAACACCCCAAAAAACCAATGATTTATTATTAAATCCAGAACCAGAACATTGAGTATATTCCTCTACCGCAACCTCCTTGCTTCCCTTTCAGACTCCAGTAGAGTGAGGACATCACCCACTCTGACAGGTCCTTTCACATTCCTCATAATGCGACGGCTCGGGTCTTCAATAAATCTCACTCTAACTTGAGTCACCTGTCCCCTTGAACCAGTGCGCCCAACAATTGTCTCAACCTCAGCATTCTTGGCTTGAGTATCCATTCTGCTCAAAACACATCCACATTTACAATGTCAATACAAAGAAAAGGTTACAAATCTAAAATTACAATGCATAACACGTCAACAAATCTACAATTAGGGTTCTGAATATTACAAATTTCAGTAAGATAATCATAGTTCAGATCACAATTCATTCAAAACTTTTCAACAAGTAATCACAGATCGGAGCAGAGAACAACACATTACCGAATCGTGATTATTGAAATCATCGCAACATCAGAATTGAAAGAGTACAATTTCGAAGAACCACGGAATGATCAATAGTGACAGTAATCGAAAACGAAAAAAAAACTGAATAAAATTGCGAAGCAAGACATGGGTAAAAGATAAATTGAAGAGATAGAAATGCAAAAGAAAGCTTACGCAGTAGAATTGTGTGGTGCGACAGGAAGAGGAGAAGACCCGAATGAAGCTGCGAGAAAAGACAAAAACCCTACTTTTCGCCGTATTTATATTTTTTTTAACCCTGAAAAGCTCATGGGTTGACCCAATATCTCTGTAGACTGTGCGAAGAATAAACGTGAAACCGATCTTATACATTAAATTATCCAAATTCAAATATTTTTTAGAAATTCAAAATTTTTATGATTAATTAGAATTTTTTAAATCTTGGTGAAGATATTGGAAATTTCAAGGTGACACCAGAAATTTAGTGAGACAATAAGAAATTTCTGATATATTTGCGAAATATCTTGTATTTTATATTGATTTTCAGAAATTATGATATTTTCGTACCGGTCTGGTGTAAACATTTTCCTTTTATATCGGAAATTTCAAAATTCCCAGGACTTTACATCATACCGGAAATTTTGAAATTTTCAATAGTTCAATTTTTTTTTTAAAATACCGAAAATTTAGAAATTTTCGATAGTTCATATTTTCCTAATTTTTTTTTCTTATTTTACAGTGAGGATCAGGGGCAAAGACGGTACCGTTGCGGGCATGCAGACTAACAGAGCGGAAGCTCAGGCCCGGGCTGATGTGGCACATGTTTCTGAGCTATGGGCTAGCCGACGTCCTCCGATCGGTTCTCACCGAAAATGGATGGCTGAGCAGCACGCTCAGTTTCGTGCACTCCGCCTTCGAGGATTGAGAGTTTCCACTGCTGAGGAGCCAGCTGCGGAGCATATTGTGGAGCCAACTGTTACGGAGTTACATGTTTTTGTTCCTGTTGTGGAGCCGACAGTTGTATAGGTTATCGAGGAGGTACATGTTCGTGTTCTTGTTGTGGAGTCGGAGGTTGAGCAGGTTGTGGAGCAGGAGGTTGTGGTTGAGCATGTTGACGAGGTGTCGCCCACTGATACGGACACCACGACGCGTACGTCTACGGAGCCATCAATACACACAGATGGAGTGTTTCCTGGAGGACCTTCAGACAAGTCCGTACTGACAAGATTTGCTAACCATGTCGCTTACATGATATGGCATGGTTAGGTATATATTTAATTTTCTTTAAGTGCATAATTTTTATTTTTGCTTACAAGATTTGATGTATAATATTTTGTTTTTGCTTCTTACAGAAGCGTCAAGTGTTGAGGGTCGCTTCTCATGGTTCAAAGTTGAAGAACTTCCCTGAGAGTCTGATGCCTGAGGAGGTCAGGAGTATCGTTAGAGATTTTCATCTATTGGAGTTTGTTGAGTGCTCCTTGACCATGTTGGACGCCTCCCTGTTATTTGCTTGTATTGAGTGGTGGCACAAAGAGACATCATATTTTCATCTTCCATTAGAGGAGATGACTATCACATTAGATGATGTCAATCAGTTGTTTCACATTCTGGTTGCTAGTACATTCTTTACACCAGTAGTTATTAACTATGCGACGACGGTGCACATGGTTATGGATGATTTGGAGGTGTCTGAGGTGGATGTGCTAAAGGATTTTGCTGAAACCCGGGGATTTCACCTTTTGATGTCTTGGCTGAGGAAGTTGTATGGGTATCTTGTGGAGGCACGTAGGTACCAGGCTGCCTCTAGGATGTACATGCTACATCTGGTGACATGTACTCTCTTTACGGACAAGTCTGGAGTTTACATTGATATTCAGTACTTATCTCTGTTCAGCACACTTAACACTCCATGTTAGGCTTGAGGAGTGGCGACCTTGACCATGTTGTACACGACACTTGACATTGCTTCTCATGTTGAGACCAAGCAGCTTGTTGGTTGCCTTAGCTTGTTACAAGTACACTAGATTTTATTTGATGGTTTTTATTAGTTATTTGGGTGTATTTATTTGATGGTTTTTATTTATGCAGTGTTGGATATATGAACACTTCCCTCATATCTGTGAGCAGAAGACCAGTGTGTGCCGACTATTGTTCCATGTGCGAGGAGATGGAAGGGTGAGCAAGCCCATCCAGGAGGTTTGATGGAGTACAAGAGAAGGCTATATGCACTGATGTTAGAGGATGTCGTTTGGACACCATATATATCTCATTACCCTCATCGTCCATTTAAGGTGTCTAGTTCGTATTCAGGGTATATTAAATGGGAGAATCATGTGGCTAGACACTTGCCTGAGAGGTGTCTACGCCAGTATGGTTATGTGTAGGGCATCCCTCGTCCAGTTCTAGAGACTCCAGCCGATGGCATTGATAGATGGTTTCAAAGTCACATCATCAGCTCCCTCTGTGAGATCATGGATATAACCGTTGAGGTTCAGCATCATGGGCAGTGCGAGGATGGATACCTGGATTGGTTTTACAGTGTTTCACACCCTTTGGTCATACCATTGGCTACAACATGTGATGTTCTGGGGTTTAAAGTGCCAGGGTTTCTGCCGAGCCACCACCACCACCTCCACCTCCTGCAGGTGATCAGGACGGCCGCCTACAGTTCATTGTCGTTCATTTAGATAGCCTCGTGGGTTTGGTAAACCCTAATGGTGAGGTATATATAGTTTAGCTAGGTTAAACGACGTAGCCCGTGGAGGGCCTATGTAGATTTATTTTATTATGGTTGTATTATATGTATATTTTGTAACACACAAACATCTTATTTATTGCATAATCTTTTGGCGATTACATGTTTCGATTTGATGATGAACATAACATAACATAGTAAAACAAACATAACCTTAAAACAACTAAACACGAAAACCTAATCACTACCGGATAACTCTGGATGTTTTAGCATCTTTATTATATCGTCGACGGATCTTCGGATCTCCGTATCCAACTCGATCAGACTTTTAGTTATCCTACAGCGAAATGATTTTCACATGGCCTTCACATCTACATCATTCTTCAACTCGATTCAGTTGTATTTCACCCTTCCATTTGTATCAGTCCAATCCTCTCGAAACTTGACATTTGTCACCCTTCTATTAACGTAATCAGGCAGCAAACCATTCAACGTTTCTTTCAAGGTGGCAAGGGATTTGGAGCCATTTGGAATCTTGAATTCAACAACAAGGTTGCATTCATTGTAATACACTTCCACATTAATTAGATACTCAGGAAGAAGCATTTTTTGATATGTCTTACCCTATAACCTAAAACCCCTATTTATATAAATGGTGATGCATTCTAGACCTCACAAATGTGTCGGTGCAATTAGAACCATCCAAATATGCAATGGGCCAATCATGACATTTCATTCTGCAAATACAATAATAAAAAAAAGCAATGGGCCAATCATGATATTTCATTATGCCATGCCTGTGTTGACCTCCTCTGCGTTTTTCAAACCACCATGGAGGGTGGGAAACACCATCATCTCGGATGGGGGTTTTTCTTCAAAACCTGCAAAATTAATCAAACAAAAAAAGCAAAACTCTGGATCCAGTATGTTGGATGCTGCAATCTCAGTGGTGCTATTAGTTTTGCCTAAAGACGTCCGTAACATGAGATCTGAATCTTTAAATGCTTTGTGCCCTAAAAATGGCACGTTCTTATTTCTACATCAAGACTCACATGTAAAACGTCAAATACATTCCAACGATGCATATGAACAGATTAATCATGTCAGCAATGGTTAATAATGCATGAGATTAAAGTTTCGAATCTTCACCATACTTACCAACCGCCGTGAATGGGAGGAGAGGTTTTGGTGTGCTTCAGGCTTATGTGAGGACTGGATATGACTCCTGGAGGTCTCATGAGTGTATTGATGGCCTTGATTTGGATTGATAGCGCCTAGAAGTGAAGTTACAGATTTTGCAACTTTTCTTTGATTTTTGAGAATTTTGAGAGGGTTCTTGTATGCATGGATTTTTGTCCCCTTTGAGATTGAATTGTTGTGCTTAAATAGAAGAATGGAAGGAAACAAATAAATATGGCAAGGAAACAACTCATTCATGGTCATGAGACAAAAATCCAACACATTAAGAAGTTGTCATTTTTTAGTGATTCTTGCCCTTTTGAACTTTCAATGAATCTGGACCATTTGTGTGTATCTTGCACGAATTATTGGGGCCTTGAATGATCCAAATGAAGTCCACTTAAGCATTGATCCATTTACTTGATATTTCACTTGATTTCTTTTGTATTTAAATGAAATGAAATTCAAATAAATAAAAATAAAAATAAAAATAATGCATGGATAGGTTTATAGGCTCTTGGATGTGTCATGAGTATATTTGAACTCTAAAAAGTTAGGCCCAATAACCTAAAATCACAAATTTTCTCAATTGAGATTTCATGCATTTCTTGAAAATTTCTCAACTTGTGCACCTCATAACTTGCTTAATTTTCATTCTTTAAAGATGATATTGGATTTTTTGAAAATGTCAAGATGACCTCTACACTTTATCTTTTGATCATTGTTGCATTTGGAGACATTATCTTGATGTAAGTTGCCTTGACAAAAAGTGTCTTTTGTTGACTTTTGAAAATGACCTATAATGTACTAGATCATATCTACAAAATGAAGCATTTTTTGGACTTGTAAATAAAACAAAGGTTGTAGAGAATTGAATTTTATTCACAATGGGATTTGGTTGGGGAAAAGTTGATGAAGCATTTGAAAGTTATGCCTGGTCAAAGTTCAGTTGACTTCTCCCAAGGAAACCATAATTTGGCAATTCTTGACTTTTGATGATCTGAGGGCTTTCCTTGAGGAATCATGATCAAACCTTGAACAAATGATGAATATCACTTCAAAATGTTTATGTTGACCAAAAATCTTCAAGTTTGACTGTATGTTGACCACAATTGACTTTTTGAGCAATACAATTGATTTTCAAATATTTGAGCCATTGACTGAGCAAACTTGTGATGTAGGACTTGAAGCTTGACATGAACCTTTTGAGGATATATGAAAAACCATGTAAGCCACTTGATGCCTTTTCAACCTAAACTTCTTTGAGAAAACTCAAAACCCTAATTGTAGGCTCTTTGGGCTTAGGAGGAGCATCTGACTGGTCAATCCTTGAGTGTCTTGAGTTTTTTAGGATCCTTAAAATAATGTCTTGAGAAAAATGGGAGGGGAAATTTTGGGGTACAACAGCTTCCCCTATTCAATCTTCTTAAACCTGAAGAGTTAGATTGGCATGTCTGCCATTTGTGACTTAAAGGTACAAGATGATTGAACACTTCAGTGCCCAGAAATTTGTACTTGCCTATGCAAGAAGTGACGTTGTTAGTTGATTGTATTGGGAATGGGCTTATAGATTCCATTTGGAGAGGTGACGGAGAGTCGTCGGAGACGGGCTTATAGATGCCATTTGGAGAGGTGACGGAGAGTCGTCGGAGATAGGCTTATAGATGGCATCCAAAGTATTTGTTGATTTTGACTGGAAGAAGAATCAGAATAAATCTTTGGGCGACTTAAACTGAACCAACAGATGTCCTTGATTGTATTTAACTGGATAAGAATCAAAATAAATCTTAGGGTCGATTTAAATTGAACCAGAGAAAGTATCTAGCAGAAATGAATCAGGATAAATCATTGGTCGATTTAAACTGAAACAACAGAGGTTTTGAATTGTCTTTGACTGGATAAGAATCAGAATAAATCTTAGGGTCGATTTAACTAAACCAGAGAAAGTGTCTACTGGAAACGAATCAGGATAAATCATTGGTCGATTTAAATTGAACCAGCAGAGGTCTTGAATTATATTTAACTGGATAAGAATCAGAAAAATCTTAGGGTCGATTTAATTGAACCAGAGAAAGTATCTACCGAAAATGAATCAGGATAAATCATTGGTCGATCTAAATTGAACCAGCAGAGGTCTTGAATTGTATTTGATTGGATAAGAATCAGAAAAAATCATTGGGTTGATTTAAACTGAACCATAGGACACCAGAAAAGAATCAGGATAAATCATTGGTCGATTTAAACTGAACCAGCTGAGGTCTTTAATTGTCTTTAACTGGATAAGAATCAGAATAAATCATTGGGTCGATTTAAACTGAACCAGAGAAAGAGTCCACCGGAAAAGAATCAGGATAAATCATTGGTCGATTTAAACTGAACCAGCAGAGGTCTTTAATTGTCTTTAACTGTATAAGAATCAAAATAAAGCATCGGGTCGATTTAAATTGAACCAGAGAAAGAGTCCACTGGAAAAGAATCAGGATAAATCGTTGGTCGATTTAAACTGAACCAACAGATATATTTTGAGAAAGACCTTCTGAGGACAATGCTGAAATAGCCCTTCGTTAGATGTAGTCGTTGAAAAGATTAGGTCATATAAGTAGTTGATGATGTTTGTTGACTGATCTTTCCTAAAAAGTTAAAGAGTTAGCTCTATGAAATGTCATGATGTATGAAATGCATTGTGTAATGATGTTCTCAAAATAAATGAGATTGTGCTATATGCGATTCGTATGCATATGCTATGACGCTTGTAAATGATGCATGAATGTAACATGTTTTTGAAGTGCATTTGCAAACTCGAGCAACATATTTGTCTGGGGAAAATAAATCCCTGATTGTTGCTGGGAAGTATGTATATCTTCGATCTTCTAGGGATTGTTTCAGCTGGGGACTCCTGCTTGCTGTTTGAGGAAAATTCGTTGGGGAACATTGATTTCTGCTTTTTGCGTGAGGAAACTCTGCTGGAGAATGTTAATTCCTACTTGGGGAGAAAAGTTCAAGAACATTGGTCGTTCATTGCTCTATTGGGGAGTTTATGCCCTGACTGGGGATGGAAGAGGTGGATAACCTTCCGACTTATCTGGGAAAGATAAGGTTGGCTGGTATTTGATTTAATTCCAGGTTCCATAGAAAATCTTTGGGGATAGTGGCAACTTCACCGGGGAGAGGATTTTAGCCGATGATTTATGGTAAAATCATACTCAAGCTAGGGAGTGTTTATTCCTTGATTGTATCTGAAGATGTATTGAATGGGTATCAAAATGATATCCATATCTGGACTGTATTTGAACCATATCTGAAAGATATACTGAATGAGTATCAGAATGAATCTTAATCTTGATCGTATCTGAACTGTATCTGGAAGATGTACTAAATGAGTATCAGAATGAACTTGTATCTTGATAGTATTTGAATTGTATCTAGAAGAGAAATCTAGAATGAGTGCTAGAATGAATCTGTATCTTTATTGTATCTGCACTGTATCTAGAAGTGGATCTGGAATGAGTGTCAGAATGAATCTATATTTAGAGTGTATCTAAACTGTATCTAGAAATGGATATGGAGTGAATGTCAGAATGAATATGTATCTTGATTGTATATGAACTGTATCTAGAAGAGAATCTAGAATGAGTGTTAGAATGAATCTATATCTAGATTGTATCTGAATTGTATCTAGAAGAGAATCTGGAATGAGTGTCAGAATGAATCTGTATCTTGATTGTATCTGCACTGTATCTAGAAGAGAGCATGGAATGAGTGTCAGAATAAATCTATATCTCGATTGTATCTGAAATGTATCTAGAAATGGATCTGGAATGAGTGTTAGAATGAATCTATATCTTGATTGTATCTGCACTGTATCTAGAAGAGAGCCTGGAATGAGTGTCAGAATGAATCTATATCTAGATTGTATCTGAATTGTATCTAGAAGAGAATCTATAATGAGTGTCAGTATGAATCTATATCTAGATTATATCTGAACTGTATCTAGAAGATGATAAACTGTTGGAGAAATAAACCATGTTGGGGAAATACTCTTGTTGAGGAAACACCCTTGTTAAGGAAATGAACTCTGCTAGAGAACAGAATTATGAAAGGGGGTTTTACAACCTTGGAGGAACAAGCTCAGCTGGGGAAGAGAAACTCCATTAACTGTACTGATTAAAACTGTGTAGGTTGGTGATATTTCTGGGGAGAAAATCATACTCCTTTATTAGCCAGAGTGATCTGTCATGGCAATTGCAGGGAATGTATGAACTTGTGAAGATTACTCTGTGGGGATCTTGGAGACTTGAACATACCTCTACTTCTAGAGCCCTTGGTGAATGCTGATCAGGGAGATAAGTCTTCTACTGATAGACAAGTGACGAGATGAAGGACATAGTCATACGCTTTAATCCATAACTTTTGCCTGGACTGTCCTTTCAGATTTTTAGTCCACCGGGATACCCTTTTTTCCCAAGCCGCCTTTTCAGGTTTTCGACTTTCCGGGTGTACAATTTTATTTATATATCCCTAATTTTTGACTAAACTCTTTTGGTTCGTCGGGATACCCTTATTTTTTCTTAGGCCAGTCAACCTAGCGGGTCTTTTTTCATGCATAGTAATTTTTTACTATGTTCGTGTTCACAAGGTGCGGAGAATTGTCATTGTCCATAGTAGTAAGTGTTGTA